AAAAAAAATGATATCAAATGAAAGAAAATTACCTAAGGTTTCAATATAAAGAAATATTATTTTGATTAGTTAATATTTGAAAAAGTTATGGCAGTTTTAAGTACAAAAAACATCGTTATAAAAGGTGATTTTTATCGCAAATATTACATTTTTTTTATAATTTCGACAGCCATTTGCACATAGAAGATAAGGTGTCGGGACAAATTTTTTTTTTTCATTTTATAGTACATAAAATAAGCTTTAATTTGATATATGTTTAAAGGACGCAGTATTTCCGGAACATTTTCAAAAATTAAGTTGAAAAAGTTAGTTTTTGTAAAAAAGTTGCTATTTTAAATCCCCCCTGTGAGCAGAATAAGTGTTAGATTTTCAAAAAAAAATGATATCAAACGAAAGGAAATTACCTAAGGTTTCAATATAAAAAAATATTATTTTGATTTGTTAATATTTGACAAAGTTTTGGCAGTTTTAAGTACAAAAAACATCCTTATAGAAGGTGATTTTTATCGCAAATATTACATTTTTTTTTAAATTTTGACAGCAATTTGCACATAGTAGATAAAGTGTCGGGACAAATTTTTTTTATTTATTTTATAGTACATAAAATAAGCTTTAATTTTATATATGTTTAAAGAACGCAGTATTTCCCGAACACTTTCAAAAGTTAAGTTGAAAAAGTTCTATTTTTTATAAAATTTTTTAAGTTTTGAACGCCCCCTATATAAGGGGAAATTGTCCAATTTTAATAAAAAGTATGTCAAATGAAAGATGTACTTATAATGTATTTAGAAAAAAAAAATTTGTGCTGATATATACATTTTTCAAAAAGTTATAGCATTTTTAAGTTGAAAATTTAAAATCGAAAATCGAAAATTTTAACACAAAAATAGTGTTTTTTTAACTACGGCAGCCGTTTAAATGTAGAAAAAAAAGTGTCGGGACAAATTTTTTTTTTTCATTTTGTAGTACATAAAATAAGCTTTAATTTGATATATGTTTAAAGGACGCAGTATTTCCGGAACATTTTCAAAAATTAAGTTGAAAAAGTTATTTTTTGTAAAAAAGTTACTATTTTAAATCCTCCCAGTGAGCAGAATAAGTGTTAGATTTTCAAAAAAAATTATATCAAATGAAAGGGAAATATCTAAGGTTTCAATACAAAAAAATATTATTTTTATTTGTTCATTTTTGAAAAAGTTATGGCAGTTTTAAGTACAAAAAACATCCCGATAAAATGTAATTTTTATCGCAAACATTACATTTTTTTTTAAATTTTCGACAGCCATTTGCACATAGAAGATAAGATGTCGGGACAAATTTTTTTTTTTCATTTGATAGTATATAACATAACCTTTGATTTGATATATGTTTAAAGGACGCAGTATTTCCGGAACATTTTCAAAAGTTCAGTTGAAAAAGATCTATGTTTTTTACAATATTTTAAGTTTTGAACGCCCCCTATATATGGGGAAATTGTCCAATTTTAATAAAAAGTATGTCAAATGAAAGATGTACTTATAATGTATTTAAAAAAAAAAATTGTGCTGATAATTACATTTTTTGAAAAGTTATAGCACTTTTAAATTGAAAATCGAAAATCGAAAATTTTAACACAAAATTAGCGTTTTTTGAACTACGGCAGCCGTTTACATGCAGAAGATAAAATGTCGGGACAAACNACTACGGCAACCGTTTACATGCAGAAGATAAAGTGTCGGGACAAATTTATTTTTTTCATTTTATAGTACATAAAATAAGCTTTAATTTGATATATGTTTAAAGGACGCAGTATTTCCGGAACACTTTCAAAAATTAAGTTGAAAAAGTTAGTTTTTGTAAAAAAGTTGCAATTTTAAATCCCCCCCCATGAGCAGGCTAAGTGTTAAATTTTCAAAAAAATTATATCAAATGAAAGGAAAATATCTAAGGTTTTAGTTTAAAAAAAAATTATGTTGATTTGTTTATCTTTTAAAAAGTTATAGCAGTTTTAAGACAAAAAAGTGAAAAAAATGACAAAATTTACCGATTCTAAAAGTTGTAATTTTTTTGGATATTTCCCCCATTTGCAGGGAACGATGGAAAATTTTTCAATTTTTAAGTGTAATGTCTTCAATTTGATACGATTTGTGATCTTTTGACGTATTTTTGAAAGAAATCGGTCCAGTGAGAGCTGAGAAAAAGTGGCAACAGACATAAAAAAAAAAAAAAAAAAAAAAAAAAAAAAAAAAACACATCATGGTAAAATTAATACCTTCTCAGCTTCGCATCGAAGCTAAAAAATATTCAAGATTATTATAATTTTAGGAGATATACACAATATATAGTATAGTGGTTTATAATAAATCAATTACCATGTAGAATTAAAAATAAATTTAATTACTAAATTGTCTAAATAATAAGTTTATTATTTAACTATAATATATAATCAATATACGAATTTTTACATTGAATGTTGGAATTAAATAAACGTGCGGATACTCATATAAACAATATCTAGATTAAACTGGCTCATATTGTCATCTTAAATCATTTTCAATTAACTATTATTATTTATTAATCGCTGGCCAAATTATTTTGATCTGTTAGCAACAACTTCATGTATAAAGAACTGCATTTAGTTTTACCATCAACTCATTTTTGTAACTTATATTTTTAATCAATATATATTTAATTAGTGCTTAATAAGATAAGTGACTACAGGAATTACTATGGTTGTCTATCTAAGTTATTCACGAATATATATTCTGAAGGTGTAACTTGTGTCATAACACAAAAGGGAAATGGAATGTAATGTGTACGAAGATGAAGATGAAGATGTGGTGCCTGCTGTCACGTGGTATTCACGTGCGTGTTGTCGTACAGCAGTCACCGTGCTCGGTTGTCACTTCGGGTTAGCTGTGGGTGTCGAAAGGCTGTTGTTATAGGAAGGGAATATGGGTAACACCTAGGTAGAGGTGCAGACGAAGTGCAAGACACAAGTACTCTGAAATGTTGTGGAAGAGAGTAGATAGGTTTAAAAAGGAAAAAACCAAGACTTTACTTTGAGCAGTAAGCCGGACAGCGACAACCGAGTACTGAGACTGATACAAATTCTTGTATTTCTTTGAACTCAAACAGGCTTATATTTATTAGTCTTATGTGTATTTACATTTATATAATCGTTTTTCTGAATTGAATTTTTTTATTATGACAATACATTTAATTATTATGATACGAGTATATACAATTAGTAGCACATCGATTACCGATAATCAATGTGTCCACATTGCGACGCGATGTATTTATTACATGTTTTGGTCTTATTTGTTCCGTATCATCAAGTAGTGGAAATTCTCAATAGATTATTTATTTTTAAAACTTAATTGCACAGTCGGTGGCAGATCCACATAATTCTAATTCCACAATATTATATCGATTATAGCATTGCATTTACGATAAAACAATATTTTGAAAGAAGTCCAAAAAAAAATTATAACGTTACAAGTCGTGTTGGGGTAAATATAACCCATTTCAATTTTGATGAATACACTTTTAGTTATACATTTTTTTTCGAAGGTATTTATTTATGAAAATCGATTCAATATTACTATAAAAACCATCTTCTAAATTTATATCTGTGTACACCTTTTGTGCAATATAATACATCCGTTTTTATTTATGTGGGGGTATGCTAGACCCCCACGCGACTGTTTAATAGTTAAAGAAATAACCAATTTATCATCAAACATTTTAAATAAGTTAAAATTATAGTATTGTACTTCTAATTACTTTCAAGTAATTATTATGCTATCTAGCGGTGAAATAGTCACAATACATAGATTAAAAAAATAATCACAAGATTGAAATAATTATGTATAAAAACTAATAAACTTAAATAAAAATGTACATATACATTTTACACACGTTAAATTCCTAATTTGAAATTGATTTCAAATAAAATTATTTTGAAAAATATTAAAGATTAAAATGAAATAAAATGGAAAAATAATAGCACAGTGTCGGGCAAATTGAAATCTTCTATTAAATCTTTCTAAGAAATTATTCATCACAATATCTTGATATTGATAAAAATTCTATTATAATACAACTATAATAAACTTAGTATAATATATCTATAATAGTATTTACTAATTGATAAAAACTTCATTAATTAAATAGATATTGGTTTATTATTCATAATATAACTAACAATTCATTGTCAAATTTATAAAAAATGTTATAGCTTCACCACTGTTTCATTACCTTTTCAGTAGATGCCAGAATTATTAAAAACAATAAACAAAAATTCTTTAATTCCATAAATTTCTTTAATGACTTCTTATACATTTTGATGATGTTATAAAATTAGTAATATGTATTGATGGCCTACCACTTGAAAAATAGTACTTTAAGTATTTTTTGGCCGTTTCTTGGTTATATTCATCACCCAAAAGAGAAACATTATATATTTTTATTGATTTACTAGGAAAAATTAAAATCCCAAGACTGTTATTTGTATTTAAAAGATATGATCGATGAATTAAAAATAATATCTATTAAAGGCGTCATGGAAACTGCTTATGGGAATAAATTACTATCAACACATTTTGTTGTGATATGCCAGTAAAAATTTTTACTCTATATACTAAAGGACATAGTGGTNAATTTTTACTTTATATACTAAAGGACATAGTGGTTATAATTCATGTACTATATGTTTTATTGAAGGTTAACTTAAAAATAATACAATGAGTTTTTAGGAACAAATTGTACTAAAAGAATTAATTTAGATTTTTATAATCGTACAGATAGTGAACATCATATACCTAATAATATATCTTCACTCAATTCCTTACATAAATATGATAGATAGTTTTAGGTTTGGTTATATGCATTTACTGGTCTAGTAAAGGAATTAATTATATTACAGTTGGGCGTGATGAATAATTATCCTCGTTACGTTCTTATCACTAATCCTGTTTTTTTCATCTCTCAACTGCAAAATATTTTAACTAATTTATTATAATATTGAAGACTATTATCAAAAATCTATTGTATTTCACGGTTTAAGAGTCTGGAGTACATTTAAACAATTTTTAAAATAAAAGAAATTCTTTATTATAAAACATATTCATAGAAGAATTTTTTTTAATTAAAGACCTTATAGCAATTGATAAATATGAACAAAATCTATGTCACAGTATGTTTTTATAAAAACCAAATTAATAATTTATCGATATTACAAAACATAAAATGAACATCTATAGCCCTTCATTCGACGCGGCTCCTTTTGGACCTAAAGAAGTCGCAGCGATCTCGTAGATCATTGCTATATACTTACTACTTTGGACGCGGCGATCTTACGGATCAAAAAAATTCACTGCGGACCCCTGAAGCAGATGGCTGATGACTAAAGCGCATTAAATCCCTCCTCCTGGAGATTGAAGAAGGTAACGTGGAGGGGGGAGACTCATGGCTTTAGCCGTTTTCATGTGTGAAGCCAAATTAAACTTTCGCGACTTCTCAGATCAACCGCGACTGATGAAGGGATATCTAATAAAAAACATATAATATTAAAAACTGATTTTAATTTTTAATGTATAACATTGTATAAAAAATAGGAAATGTTTCCACCAATGGTTAATTAATATATCCATATAAAGAATATTTTTGGTGGCTCTGATTAATTAATTATATAATTTTGTAAAATTAAATAAGACATTAAAAATTATGAAGAGATGTGTATAGGTAAAAAAAACTGAGTTTATACTGGGTAGATTTAATTTTTTTTTTTTTTTTTTGATTGATAAGATTTAAAATAGAACTAAATGCGATTAACTACTAGAGAGATTACTGTTGACATAATTTATATAAAATAACGGGACAATATAAAAATATAAGATTTTGAAGTAGCTATTCAGTTAGATCAGAATAACAAATTAAATTTTGATTGAGGTAACTAACTTAAAATTTAAAGTATTAATCAGGTGAACATACAGCATTATCCAAATGGAATACTGTAATTGTTTATATACAGAATATCCAACCGTGATTTAAAAATTTAACTATATAAACCAATATTCAAATTAAAAAAAATTATGATAATTACATAGTGGCGCGCCTAGCATGCTGATAAGTGCATTGACAGTTCAACCCAAGTACACCAACTGAATACAATGCAAAACACCAATTCAGTATTAGACAACGCGCATATCTTCCTACAATTTATCAACACAAAAATAAACAAACGAATCAAACAACTACTAAGTAAACAGTTGTAACTGTCGGGATGTAGAATACTACAATTATTTGAATCATATAGTATTAATTTTTGTGACTCGAACAGTAAAAATAACTTTCTTTACATAATTTGTATTATTGATTACATAGTTTTTGTTTAACTACTATTAGCTTTTTTTCTTTATGAATTTTTTTTTTACATTAATATGTCTTCAGATGGAAATATTATAAATTAATTTTATCACAGAAAATGAAATTTATACTTTTACTTCAATATAAAATTTTTTTCATAAATAACTGAACGTTAAATTAAAATTTTGAAAATATAAATATGTAAAAAATACCTCAAAAACATCTTAAATAAAGTAGGATCAGATTTGGTTAAATCTTTATTTCTTGATAAATTAATCCGTAACAAATTCCCCTTGTTTCCTCCAAGAAAAATATTAATTAAGCATTTTATTCTAGTACCATTTATGAAGTTGGATGGCTAATGCTTAACATTTTCTGCAGTTTAAAAAATATTAAGTACAAACGTCTATTGTATAACACTGGTGTAATTACGAATCAATAGGTGTCTATTTTTTTAAATAAAAAAATTTTAAGAAAGAGATACAATTTTTTTTTTTGTAATAGAGAATATTTTTAATATCAATCTTTGGACAAACGATATTCATATATCATACTTATAGTACAAGTAATAGAAAGAAAATGCTTAACAAAAGAAATAAATGATTACTTTACTTGTGATAGTAAAGCAAATTTATTCCTAAGGGCATTTTTAGTTTTTGCATATTTTAACTTATGCTAACATAAAAATAAATAATAATAAGTAAATTTAAATTTAATTTCATTACCATGTATAGATGAAATAAAAAATTACTATTAGCATCACTTTAAAATCTATTTACTTACTATAATAATATTATTTAAGCATGTGTGGTGCTATTGAGTAAATCATGTTTATATTTATATTGTTAGCATGACCTTGCAAGTAAATACTTAATTAAAATAATGCAAACACGTTCAAGATGTTTACAGTAAATTTGTATGTATAAAAGCACAATAATATAGAAATAAGTCAAAGTAAGGTTGTAAATTTTTAAATGTACAAAAGTTTTAATAATTATACTTCATATTTTCAACTGTTCATCTATTTTGAAACCAATAATATGAATTTTAAAATTATTGCAATATTTAATTTAACTTGCTTGTTTAAAGGATCAATGGTAGAAAATTTTGTAGTTGTTATTTATAAATATATATATATATATTTTTTTTATAGAGTATGGGAATTAATGATAAGCAAAACAATTTATGTAAAAGTCAGTTTAATAAAAAAGTCAATCAACAAAACATTGATGAGTTTACAAAATCTTTAAACATTAAAGATACGTTTTATTTAAATACTAATGGTAATTAATGCAACTTAATTTAATTTATAATTTAAATTTAATTTAATATTTTTTATGTTTGTACAAATTAATATGATACAGACTCTATCGGCACACAAATGCAAGATTTACTAATTTTCCTATCACAACAAAATAAATTGTACGATGACGACAAAACGGTAAAATCAAATAATATTTTTTTTTATTATTAGTAGTAAAAAAGATATATTTGGAATATTTTAAATTAATATTTTAGGTAACATTATCACAAGAAGAAGTTATTTTTTTTATTAACACACTAAACTACTATAGTGAAAAAAAAAATGGAATTTTTCAACGAAAAGATCTCAACAATTTTATACAAGGTTTTACAAATGATGATAGTGTAAAATATTTAAGATTAAAAAAATTTATTGGATGTCTTTTATATGTCGAACTGATATCAAAAAGTAATTATTACATGTTTTAATTAATGACACGTTTAATATAATGAACATTGAAAATTTGTACCTTTATTTTCTTTAGAGTTTCTTCCTCTGAACACTGCACAAGTCTTTTCCCAAATATTTACCATTTTGATCGCCTACTCATAAAAAGAATTTCTCAATTATACAAAAATAATGTAAAATTATTCAGAAATACTAATAAATTATTTTTTTATTTTTAAATAAAAATAATTTTGGTCTAATAATTAAGTACATATTTTTTTCAAGTTATTTTATCAAAATACTAATATACTAAGCTACTATGATATGTTATAGCAGTAATCACTTTTATAAAAGACATTAAAGTGTATTTTTACGAAAAAAATAAAAGGCTAAACTGAATAAAACTTAAAATCTTTAGTTTTGAAAAAAATTTAAGCTATACAGCAGGTTTTACATTTATTACTATGTGAAATGAACATTTTTAAATATATTTTTTTTAATTCAAAAGTTATTAATGAAATAACATTATACTGGACTTTGATAAGTAATGAATTTTATTAATGGGTATCGTAAAATAGAAAATAATGAACGAGAGAGTTGTGAATAGTAATTATTTGCTATTCCTTTTTCCATTATTTCGGAAGTTATACCATTTTAAAATATGGACTGGAGGTGATGAATAAGTATAAAAATATGTATGTTGCTATTCAAAAAATAAAATTGACACCATATAAAGTATAAGGAATTCATTAAAAAAAACGATTATTTAACCAATAAATCTTAAAAATAAGAAATTAAAAATTGCAAAAAATATTTTCTTGACATAATTATTATTTTAAGAGAAATTGATTTTACTAACGTAAAAGAATCACCTTGTATAATTTTTAGTAATATTTTATTTGTTTTGTTTTGAATTTACGAGAAAAGCTGTATTGTCATTTTCAAGTGTTGGATTACACATGGAAAACAATATCATTATTGTAGTAATACAATTAATTAAACCCTCCGTTCAATTAATAAAATATTTGGAATTATTATTAAATATCCTTAATTAAAAAAATGAGATCTATGTTTATATACTATACGGAACTTGTTATATTTTTATAAGAAACACAATTATTTTTATTGGAATATATTGTAAGTATTAATTTAATTAGTATATTTGTATTAACTGTATTTTTATTCTTTAAAAATCAGGAACTCCAATAAAATAAAGTATATTTTATAATTTATTATTTTATGTTTGTTTAAATTATTTCTACCTAAGTCTATTGCCAACTATATACTTTAAACAGCTTAAGTGTAAACTATAAAAAAAGAAATACTCCAATCTAACAAAACTTCTGAAAAATGAATGTTCAATTTGTTTAGTAATTTTTTTTGTGTTTGAATTTACTATAATTTTGTGTAGTAAATTAGTTTCAAATCTTATAAGATAATTAGAATTCTTTATTAAACGACCTCTTCACCATGCATACTAGGATAAATAGTGTTTTGTTTATTTCTCATTATATTGAACTAGGTGCTTTATAATTTGAAAAATTAAAAAGCTAAAAATGAAAAAAAGAATTCTTATAATTTTTTATTATTTATATATATAATTATAAACGATTCCATTATTTAATCGTTTAAACTCCAAATGAATATGCTTATTATTTGTTAATACCTGTTAAAAGTTTAAATACTACATTAGCATATTCATTTTGATTAATTGTGTATAAAAATATCGAAATTTATCCATTTCAAAAATAATAATTTTTTGGGTAATTTCCACCTTCCACTGGAATGACCGAAAAATATTTAATTTTCGAGGGTAATGTCTTCAACTAGATACGACTTGTAATATTTGGATGTATCGTTGAAAAAAACGAAAATGTAGTTGCAGACACACAAAATAAATAAATAAAAACATCTTGGTAAAATGAATACGCTTCACATCGAAGCTGACAGACATATCAATGTAAAATTATTGCCTTCTTAGTTAAAATAGAAGCTAAAATATAGCATCGTGAAATACATCACAAACGTAATTTTACTTGTATTATATTAAATTAACTTGACGATAACATGTTACTTAAAAAAAAACAACAGATGGTAGCACAGTGTTAACGTGGCATAGTTGAGACAAGTACAGAACATATCTGACACTAATTAAAAATACTATCATAAGAAAAGGCTTCGATGCAAAACTGTTCTTAGTGTATACTCTTAAGAAGTTAAACATAATAAAATAATTTTAATATGAATAAGAAATTTCTTCTCACAAGGGAACACTACAGTGATGGGGTCCTTTATATTAATTGAAGTTTTATGATTTCAATCTAAATGAAATAAAAATCAAACGAAGTTTCCTGTACTCAACAGAATTAAGAAAATGTCATTGCAACGGATGGGGTTCGAATTTTGTTTCCTAACGCTATTTACATTAGTGTTACCGACGCGGTAATCGTAATCGATATTTGGAATTGGTAATCGTACATTGAATTTGTCCGTAGATAAAAAAGATATTCGAAGCTAATTCAAAATTTCAAAGTTATTTTTTTCAACATAAAAGAATCAAAAAATTTGAAATAAGTTAAATTTTATATTCAATGTAAGTTAGATTCATAGATTTTTTATGAAAATTGGTAGCCTCATTACTATAGCTACTTCTTGTAAGGTAATTAAAAAAATGTATTTTTTAAAGATATATAAGTTTAAAGAAAAAATAAATATTTTCGAATAAAAATTAAGGCGGATTAGTCCACCATCCCCATTCTTAATACAGTTCACACTTATTTCTTAAAAACACTATCAAATAAGTTTTTATACAACATTTATTAAATTTTTTTGAATTTCTCAATTTTTACACAATTGTACTTTGTTTTTTAATTTTTATGACCGTTTTTACCATAAAGACAAGTCTAGAAGTTAAATCATTTTTTCAAACAAATATATATTACATTATCTTTAATTTAAGATATTTATAAAATGATTCATTTTATATTTTGTAAAAAGCATCACTGTAAGAAATAATTTGGAAATTGTCATGCGTCAGTATGATATTTTTAATATACACGTCAATTTTACATACAAAAAGTATAACTTTGACATAATGTATTAAAATTTGTTCAAAAATATAACATTTTATTACTATTTATCCAAATTTTACCTTATTTTGTATGCGTTAATAACTTCCCATACATGTGTTAAAAAATTTGAACATTTTTATTAAAAGTTTTAATTTTATCATAATGCATTATAAAAAAACAACTAAAATATATTTATTCTGATGTGACAATGTTGTCATGGCACTTTATTATGTATTAGTGTTAAGTTAACAAAATGTCAAATACAAATAATGAATTTATCCAAACTTTTAATAATTAATTAAAAACATTTAACATATCAAAAGTTGATGTGTTAACTAGTTAAAGAATGTATTTATGACAATTAATTTTTTTTAAGGTTAACCACATTGTTAATTAAATATTATAAGTTTATTTTAGTAAAAGATTATTTAACACTTAAAATATACATATGTACACTTAAATGTCAGTCAAATAATTATCAAAATTATTCATAACTATTTTTAGACTATTTATAAAACAAAATGCAAGAATAAAATATTTTACGAAAAGAACCTTTATTTAAATTACTAAATCTATCTTATTCCCAGACTTTTTAATTTAATCTACACATGCATTACGGTATAATTAAAGTTTGAATTAATTAACACTGTTCATGAAAAAGTCACCAAAATTCCCTCGAAAATAATTTTTCTTTATATTTTATATGATGTAATGAAACATATAGTATTTACACAACAATAAAAAAAACTGGTTATGTAGTTGATAATATAATTAACAAACATTGTTAAATTCCGAGATTTTTTTATTAAAGCATAAAAAATGTAATATTTTACTTATCATATATTTGCCGTCACTCTTGTTTTATAATCGTCAAGTACATCGTTAATATTCTGTTATTGACAGAATTATACATTAATAAAAACATTTACTTCAAACAAACGCTAATGTTATATTTATTTATTTTAATCATTAATCTTTTTAGAAATTTATACCTCTGATAATATATATATATATAGTATTGTATATAAATATAATTTAAATATCATTGAATTTCAGTAATAATACCTTTAAATTTTCCAATGAAAATACGATGTATAATAAGTAACTTGATATAGCAACTATTAAGAGTACATATCTATAAGATTAAATAAATATCAGGAATACTTTTCGAATTAGTTAAAAAAAAAACGAAAATAATTCACTTTTGAAATGGAATTATTGTTGCCAATTCGATTGGAATATGCTATCATTTTAAGGTGATAGATTTCTTATCCACAAAAATACTCGTAATTACTTAAAACTAAATTTTATTAATAGAGTTTTATATAATATATACATAAGGTAGATTGTAAAAGTACCAATAGATCATTTATGCCATCACAATAATTGCTTATAAGTTATAAATAGTTATACTCATTAAATTTTACCTGTCCAAATATTGTTAAGTACTATATAATAAGGCTTATACGAATTACTTAAAATATATAATTAGATATTAAATTGAACAATTTAACATAAAATGAAAACGCTTTGTTGCAGCAAATTATCATTAATTATTGAATTATGTATTATAAAAGTAAAGTATATATTTAATGAGTATTTTTGAGTTTTACATTAAGATATTGTAATCATAAATGTTTTTTGACAATAAAAGTTCTTATAATAAAATGCTATTGAAGATAATTCTACTTTAAACAGCTAAAACATGATCATTAAGGATCGATTTTTAAGGAAATTGTTCAAGATGATTAATAAAATATTTACATTTTAAAGTACAAATATTAGTATATTGAAATTATTTTGTTAGCCGTATTATTGTATTTTTTGTGATTAAAAAGTTATTGTTTTACTCAAAATACATAAAATTTAAAAATAATTATTCAACGATAGAAAATCAACAGTAAAATATATACTTATATTTTTAAAATAATTACCTAACTTGACCATTTATATTATTATGAATAAATTGGATTATCTTTATATTTATTTGTTGAATCAATTAAATAAAACAATTGGTTGTTAGGGCAAAATTAACATCCTACACAAATGTAATCACAAACAGCTTTCAGTGCATGAGGGTGATAATTGACATTTTTAAAATTGTTCGGGAGTGCTATTTTTGTAATTAAAGATTAAAAAGTTATGGAACTTTTTTGATACATAAATAACTTATAAGAGAGAAAATATCAGTCTAGGGAAGCTCTATAATGTTTTTATTGCACTATAATACTTTTATAGTATTATCTATTTATGCAATAAAATGTATTTTCGAATAAGTGTCAGTTAATATTTTTATTTACTGACCCCTTCAATTATGTTTAATCTAACTATTTCTCAATAAGAATGCTTGTATTTATTTTTTTTTTAACAGCCGTGACGGGTGAGCTGTCAATTTTACATACGGATATATATCATGTTTTTTACATTTGTGATTTCCAGATGAGTCATTTAAAAAGGTTTTGTTAAAAACTTGTGGAATCACATGCCTGAGTCGTTATTAATTTATTTATACACAAATTTATTACTGTCTATTATCATTAGTGTAATGAAATTCAAATTTCAAAAAAAAATATTATAAACTTAGTCTCTATTTTAATTTGTCATTTAACAAAAATAGTTTATTACTTTGCTTGTTTGGTCAATATTTTTATTATACAGAAGTTATTATGAGGAATCTACCCCTGAAGTTTTTGAACTAATGTAATTGACATTCCTTCCTGGGTTGTTTTAGAAATGGTATTTTTCCTTAAATTATGAAAAGTATTTTTGTAGTTAAATATAATAAAGAATTTATGCTATTATTTTAGTATTCTGATGTTTAATAGTACAAAAATGAGAATTTTGTTCTAAAAACTCTTAAAATACGTATCATTGTTAAAATTTTTCAAAAAGTACCCTAACACCACTAGAAACATAGTTTTGTCATAAATTCGATAAAATGTAACTGTGTATTAATTGGAGAAAACAAAAAAGTTTAAAATACGTTCAAAAAAATTAATATTCAATAACTAGATAATATCAGATATCTAACAAATAATACAATGAAACATAAATAGAAATGTTTTATGCATTTTTTAGGTACAATAAGTATTTCTTCCAAAGAATACTTTTGTGATACGTATCTCAGAAAATTTGAAACAATAGCTTTAGACTTTTCTTTTAACAAGAACATTACAAACATTTTTTTTTAATGTTTTGGAACTAAATTTACTGTAAGAAAAGTGTACAATGATAATAAGCTTACTCCGATAAGCTTATGAAAGTCTCAGTACGTTGTAAAAGATTTTCAGTTCTACTAAAAAGTATCAAACAGAAGTAAAATTGTATAAGAAGCCCGATAAAAACATAAAAACTTATGTCTCAGATAATTTTAGCTTACAAATAAAAACAAAATACCTTAACCCTATTTTTAGGTTGATTACTGTTTGTTGGTGTATAATTTATGTTGTAAAATATTTTATGACGTAAATAAATACATATTGTCAGTTTAATTTAGACTTATGTTACAATTTTTTAGATTTTGTAACATTAAAAAAAAAAACAAATTTTCATCAATATGAAGTGCATTAAAAAAGTCTTGTTGATTTATAAAATGTAACAAATCATTCAATGATCAGATCATTGAATAATCAATAATAAAATCTACTTGATAGATTCTAAAAAGTGGATTTGATTAGGAAAACATTTTTTTAATGTGTGATATAATGGATAATGAAAAATATTTTATTAAACTAAAATATTTATTCTATATCATGTTATTCAATGACGCAAATAAAAAAAACTGAAGGTGGTTACTGTAGGATATATTTGAAAGTGAAGAACATGCGCGACTCCCCTTTTCAAGGGATTTTGCGCTTGTTTTCCGCACTTATAAAACTACTGGCCCTCCAGAGTTTGGTTTATTATTGTACCAAGCACTTCAACCGTTACAGGCCACACATCATCAACAGGTAAGGAATCAGAAATATAATTTTATGACTTTTATAGGTATTTAAAAATTTGTCAGTAAAATTATTATATAACATTTGAAATATAATTTGGCACTAATAAGTTATTTGTGATGAAACGATCCTTTAAAATTGAGTATTTTTTAAAATTGTATACATGTTATAATTTTTTATTATTTATTTAAATTTTGTCAAATTTGTATTAATTAGATTAAGATGAAAATGTTTATGTGATCATAATTGAACATTTTATTTTAAGAAATGAAGTGTAAATCATACATTTTTGAAGAATGAGTTATTTGGTATAAATTATTTTTATGAGTAGATTGTGAATTATTATACATTTCTTAGATGCAGTACTATAAAAAATATATATATATTTTCTTATAAAATAACAAATTATTTTCATGATTAAAATTTAGATTTTCACAATATATCATAGATTACATTTAAATGACCCGGAATGACTCAGTCTAGTATATGTATAGGTCGACCGGCCCAGATATACTGAAAATTTAGACTGGGGTAAATGTTTAAGTTACCTCCCACCAAATGATGCCTTTGTACTTCAACACTGGTTGTTCTAATTATTTTTCTTGGATATATTTTAAAAATTACATAAAATATTCCCTTTGTGTTATTTATAAAATTGGTAAAAAAAAACATAAAAAATCCAGCACAGGGGAGTCGCAGCACAGAGGTGACGTGGCATAGTTGGATCAAGTATAATGAAATCTGACAATGATTAAAATCGCTATCAAAAAAAACGCTTCGATGCAAATCTTTAGATAGTGTTTAATTTTAAAAAATTGGTGGATTATTCCAAAAGCTACATGATCTGCTATTTCCTTATTAATATCCTGATTAAGATAAAGTATGTCGAATGAAAAAGGGATTATTAAATAATATTATTTCTCATAAAAAATTGTGTTGATCCATACACTTTTCAATAAGTTATAGCATTATAAAGTTAAAAATGTAAAAAATAAAATCCAGAATTTTCACACAAAAATAGCATTCGGTAGCCATTTTCACCATGAAGACAAAATAAAGTCCAAAATTTTTTTTTTCATCATAAAATACATTACATTATCTTTAATTTAATATATATATATATAAGTGTCAGACTTTCCGGAACATTTTAAAAAGTTAAGTGTAAAAGTAAATTTTTTGTGAAAAAGTTGTCATTTTAAATCCCCCCCTGTGGGCAGATAATGTGTCAGATTTATAAAAAAAATATACCAAATGATAGGTAAAGACATCAAGCATCAAAAAAAAAAATTTATATTGATATGTTCATTTTTGAAAAAGTTATGGCAGTTTTAAGTAAAAAAAATTTCGAAAATTTCGAAAATTAGCGATTTTTAAATTTATAATTTTTTTGGTGGTTACCCCCATTTACAGGGAACGAGGGAAATTTTTTCAATTTTTGAGGGTAATGTCTTCGACTAGATGCGACTAGATTTGTGATCTTTTGACGTATCGTTGAAAGAAATCGGTTCGGTTAGAACTGAGAAAAAGTGGTAACAGACACAAAAAAAAAATAAATAAATAAATGATTTGTTCAATAGTTGTTAACTACCGGTCATTCTTTTAGAATGTTTTCTTATTTTTAGTAAGGTTAAACATGTATAAAAAACCGTAGCACAGTGGGGTAGCGATACAGAGTGGACTTGGCATAGTTGGCATAAGTATTGAACATATCTGACAGTGATTAAAAAACATGAGAATTGCTACGATGCAAATCTATAGATATACGTACAGTATATTTTAAATCTTTAAACCCAACTAAACCAGATTTAATACTTAAAATTATATTCTATAGCGTATAATTTTATGAAATATTAGTGAATTATTCCAAAAGTAACATCAACTCAAAAACTATATTCTGAATAGTAGTTATTTGATTTATAAGTATAATATATGATTATTTAATAATTATTTAAATATTCAGTAATTTATAATTTAATTAAAATAGTAATTAAACTTAGTATGAAATTGATATTCAATAATTTAATATTGTATATTATACGGAGAAATTATAAAAAATTATAAAGTAGTTGTATATTTCGTTACTTCAATAGCAATTGTCTATAAAAATTGAAAAGCTTCATTCAAAACTTTTCGGAAAATAATTTAAATTAATTTGGTCAAAACTGGTCTAAAAGGAGTTATCATACTTTATACAAAAATATACTTTTTATAAACCAATTTTTGCACTGATTTTATATCTGCAATTAGATTTTTTCTATCACCTCTAATATATAAGATTATTTCTAATCAGTAAAAAACGGATATTAAAAAAATAATATATATATATATAAATAATAACCAAAATAATCTAGGTAAAAATGAAATTCAACAACAGATTAGCGGACGGAAATAAGTGAAATTAGGTGAAATTAACATAGAAATGTTATGAAAAATTCAAGTAAAAAACTTGAAAAACGGTAATTTTTACACCAAAATAATATTTTTTGTCTAACTTCGGGGACAAATAGAAGACAAGACATCAGGATAAATATTTTTTTAATTTATAGTACATATCATAAACTTCAATTGAACATGTACTTAAAGGTCGTAGAATTTTTGGAACATTTTCAAAAGTAATGTTAAAAAAGTTATATGGTCGTATGTTGAAGAAAAAATTTACATTTCATAAGTTTTGAATTCCCTTTGTATAAAGGAAAATGGTCAGATTAAAAATATGTATGTAGAATGAAATGGTATAAAGTATTTATTTAAAAAGAAAAAATTAAGTTATCCATAGATTTTTTTTAAAAATAATAGCATTTTTAAGTGTAAACATAAAATATGAAAATTTTAATACAACATAGCACATTTTTTAACTACGGTTACCGTTTAAACAAAAAAGATAAGTTTTCGGGACTAATTTTTTTTTTAACATATAGAACGTAACATAAGTTTTAATTTAACATGTATTTAAAGTTCGTAGTATTTCCGGAACATTTTCAAAAACTAAGTTAAAAAAACTTAATTTTTGTTCAAAAGTAAATATTTTTAATCACCCCTTATAGTCAGACTGAGGATTGAAATAAAAATAAAATACTAAATGAAAGAGAAATGCCTATGGTAATTATTTATAAAAAAATAATTTTATTTCATTCATTTTTAAAAAAGTTATGGCAGTTTTAAGAAAAAAAATTTTTTTTTTCTTCTTTATTAATGAAATTTACAATCTGTAAAAAAAAAAAAGTTTTACAATAAGTAAATATTTTAGAAAATATACATATATACAATACTTAACATGAGTAGCCTGTGAGGTTGCTCCCATTGGAGTCGCTTGCTATTGAAAATTAATATTTTATTTAATTGCATAATATTAACAATAATAATAATAACATTATATATCAATAATTAGGAGTTTTAATTAAGTAACATTAACAAGATTAAATCATTTATAAAGTTAATAGGTCTCTGCACCAGAAAAAAAAAATTATATATTTTTTTATGTATAATACATAAGTACAAGGGAGTATTTAGACATTTCTAATGGGAGGGCACAAATAAAATTTTTTAAACACAAGCTACTATGAAAATTTTTTTACTCATTTTGATTTAATTATGAGCAAAAATAAAAAGGTTAATATATTCATATTAGCAATGCAGGGTCAATAGGGAGGTCGTACTTCTATCTCTCCTCCCCTATCACGCTACTGTAGTAGTATCATAAACTATTTTATTATATACAGTATTAAAGTATTTATAGCGTTTTATAAGCAATAAACATTACTTTTGTATGTTTATAATTACAGTTATTATTTACTCATACAACAATATTCATTTTAAAACTTACATCCCAACAAAAGAGTAGACACAATTGAAACTACTCATTTCTTTCATTCTGCGTAAATTAAAATATAATTACAGTTTTTAATGTTCAACCGAAATCTCTTTCAAAATTTTTCAACGAATCAAACACTATGTTTTATGTAAATAGAATTATTTTTAGGTTATAATAAAAAACGTTCTTTTGTATCGAATAAATTACCTAAGTAGATTATTAATAAAAAAAAATAAAATAATTTTCTTAAATATTAAGATTTAACAACCATTACAGTTGGAAGTAAAAAACATAACAATTCAAAGTGGATCAATTTTAAATCGAAGTTATAATATAAATTAAGAGGATACCATACAGATGATAAAATAGTTATAAGCATATTTTTCACGGGACAACTTTATTTGATTTGTATTAATATGAGAGTCCCAAAGTTTTACCAAATTATTGATGAAAAAATTATCTGTGATCTATTATTTTTATTTTTTCATTTATGAAAATATTTCTAATGTTTTATATTCATTAATAAATTTTAAGTAAAATTCATTATAATTTCGTTAATTTTAATGTTCAATAAATAACTTTAGAGTTGCGTTATCATAATTATAAAAACACTAGATCATAAATAAATTTATAATTTACTGAAGAAATTGAAGACTGCGGCGTCAGAAAGACTTGATCAAAATTGCCCTTCGCCCCCAAAGAAGAGTGACGTCATTTACTTAAAACATACTTTCTTACGATCAACAAAATAAGTTACCTTAAACATAATGTTTCCCAATAGATATTGTTCTTTTAAATTTTAAAAATGGTTTTTATGCAGTCATTTAATTAAATACAATTTAAGGTAATGACTGTAGATGAGGAATGGGTGCTATTATTTTTATCACTAGTCATTTCTTAGTCATACAGTTTCTTCCGCCTAGGTATGAAAATGAGGAGAATAACTTTCAAATTACTGATCCAAAAATTGTTATCGACCAGTCATTTTTTTAATTAGTTCAACTTTATTTTATATATTAGTTTAATATATATGGTGCCGTTGAAAAATATAAAGTTGACAACCCTATGAGATATAAGGGATTAACCTAAAAACTATTTTATAACATATAAATGCATATGTAACTAACAAAAACTAGAAAAAATTTTTTTCAAAACAATTATTATTTTAAGAGAAATTGAGTGGTTAGCGTTAAAAGAA